CTTGTTTTTAGAACTTTAAAGGCTTATGTTTCATCATATGCATTCATACATTGTGATAAGATCAAGGTATTTTGGTTCCCAAATTCCTCTACAAGCCATGAAAGGTGGTTGTATTGAAAATAAGTGCAAGAAGGGTCTCAACCCTCAATATTTGAGCAACTCAAGATACAAGGGCTTCTCATACCTTAAGACATCTCAATTGTCTCTTTGATTCATCAGAAGTTTGAAATTTCAAGTGTTGATTCTTGAATCACTGTTCTTTTGTGCATCTCTTGAGATTAGGGTTTTTGCCAGATGAAGTGTTTGATACTTGTTTGGGCCAAATTTGTTAATAAATATGCTCTCATTGTTATATGAGACATCTATGTTCAAGGAATTTCTCATTATGTTCCTTGGAATTAGGGTTTTGAGACTGGATCATCATCTCCTAGCCCAAAAGGCAAAAATTAGGGTTTTGGATTTAATCAGGAAATCTATGACTTTTTAGGCAAGACTTGATTTCATGCTTCCCTACATGTTCATGAGAACCTATGATTGAAGGGTTGAGCATCAATTTTGATTGGAAGTGGTTCAATTGATCAATTGATGGTAAAATAGTAATCTGAGCAAAAGTCAACAAAAGTCAATTGTTGACCAAGGGGACTTATGGTCAAAGTTGAGGTCAATGATCATGTTTCAACATCTCATGGACCATGATTGAAGAAATTCAATAGAAAGATGGATTTTGAAGTTAGCTTGTTCATGAAGGTATCTTGGTGAAAATTTGAAAATTTACTAAGTATGGAAACTCATAAGGCTGAATTTCAAAAATTCATAACTTCTTCATTTTTTGTTAAAAAATACAAAATTTACATGCTTGGAAAGAGGAATAAAATTTCTTCAACTTTGTCTATGTGAGCTCAAGTCCAAAAAATGAAAGAAGAGAAAATTATGGTGCTTAGAAGTTTTTGACACTTAGAGAATTTTAAGGTTTTGACCTAAAAATTCACTCTCTTCATGGCCAGTTTTGAAGATCCAAATGAATTCAATTTTAAATAGTGTCAACTAGAGAATTGAAGTATGTTTGATCCCCTCCAATTTTTTTCCAAGTATTATTGCATTTGGTTTAGTGTAGAAGGAGATATTGAGTTTAGGATTTTGTTTTTTTAAGTTGTCAACTTGCCTAACATGAAAAGCCCGCGCGTGCATCAGGTTTGAATTTCATCAAACACATTTTGGGCACATGTCCATCATCTTTTTTTCTTATTGAATCATTCTTTTTTTTTTAAAAGTCATCAACATCAAAACTGAAATTGGAACTGTCCTCTATAACTTTGCTCTTTACATCGTATCATTTGGTTAAGTAGTAAGAGAGATATCATGCTTGGGATTTGAGGTTTTAAAGATGACAAGGTACAAGCATGACCAGCCAATATGCATGCGCACCCAGGCTTGGCAATCCCAATGTTCAGATTTTTCTCGTGCCAAGTTTTAAGGTTCTCACAGGCTTCAAATCATTTTTTCTCAACATCAACTTTGAAGTATATCATCTTAGCTTTCCAAAGGTATCAAGTTTGTGAGAAACACATGAGAGATGAAATAAATATTGAGTATTGGTCATGGACGGCTCTATATTCCTGCATGTCAAGGCAAGAATGGATTCTTGTACATATGAGGGAATTTGCTGCATGATTTTTACTATGCACCTCATGCACATGCCGCATATCATGATTGCATCATTTTCTTTCCAAAATAATCCAAGCAATGCACATGGTCATGCATGCTCACGTATTTATCATTTTTTGTCCAAAATAGAAATATTCCCTCCACTCACTCTTTTCCCCCATGTGCAGTTGACAACTCACCAACTCACACATGTACCACACTCAATTTTCACTCTCTTATCCTCTCCAAAATGCAGCAGACTCACCCTCTTTTACACACAAAACGCATGGCACCATTGCAAGCTTCATTTTTATCAGTTTGGACAAAATAGCTCTCTAATGGCTCTAAGCCTCAAATGTCCACTTTACCTTCTCTTCCTCACTCTATATGACAAGCTCAAGCCTTCACAAACTTCTCACACACTCTTCATTCACAGAAGTTAGATCCAAATTTTCTCCTTCATTCTCAAAATTATCGAGCTCTCTCTCTCTCTCTCTCTCTCTCTCTCTCTCTCTCTCTCTCTCTCTCTCAATCTTCTCAAGCATTCTTCAAATTAGAGTTTGCAATCTCATTTCTGGAGCTAGGAAAGAAGAACCTATGGGTTTCTTTTCAACTATAGCAAGGGAAATTGTGAATTTCTTTTTCACATAAAGGTAAGTTGCTTAAACTTCAATCTCTCATGCTAGGCTATTTCAATGCTTGTAATCATGTTCATGTGCATTAGTTGACCACATAATAGGTGCAAGGTATATGAATTGTTGAGTTCGAGCTTATGTTGTTGTTTGAATGTTCTATGAAAATTGATGAAACCGTGACTTTGAGCTTGATTTTCTATGAGATGTGATGCTTGTTTGATGATTTGCTTTATGCTATGATGTTGTACCATGTGAGATCTACAATTTTGTTTTAAATATCACATGATTTCGTTGAGTATCGAGCTTGCAATCTGGATCTGAAGATTGTGTGGTAGATCTGATTTTGAACATGTCTAAATTTCTTGCAATCAGTGATATTTGTGCTCATTGTTCTCTATGATTCATGTATGGATTATGGAAAATTTTGATGTCATTGTGCTCCTTGAAGTTTGATCTTCATTTTTGGTGTTTACATCGTACGCTTTCATTGAGAAACGAGGGAGATATGATGATCTGAAACAAACTTGTTAGCATTGTATATCGTGTTAGGGTTTTTCTCTTTAACTGGGATGGTTACATGGCTTTTTTTGATTTATCATGTTTAAGTTTCTTTCACAGCACTTTTTGTGCATATCAGGTGTTATAGATCCTTTTCACATTTGAATTTTATTTCAATTTAATTGTTTTGTTAAATTTATTTTAAATAGTTTCATCTATCTAAAAAATTCACAAAAAATATGTTAGACTTCAAATAGTTTCACCTTTAAGTGACATGGTCAGCAAATCCTGTGAGCACGGACCTGTCTGAAGGTCCTCCTGGAAAGGCTCCATCAGTTTAAACTGATGGCTCCGTAGACGCACGAGTTGTGATGTCTGTGTCAATGGGGACACCTCATCAACACGCTCAACAACAACCACCTGAACCGGCTCCACAACCTGCTCAATTGTCGGCTCCACAAACTGCTCGGCAACCGGCTCCACAACCTTCTCAAAAATGGGCTCTACAACCTGCTCAGGAATCATCTCCACAACTGGAACAACCTCCTCAATAGTTTGCTCATAAGTCGGCTCAATCACAAGCACATCCACAGGAACAGGAGCATGTACCTCCTCGGCATTAGAAACTCTAACTCCTTGATGGCGGGTTGCGCGAAACTGCGCGTGCTGCTCAGCCACCTGTTTCCTGTGAGAACTGGTCGGAGGATGTCGACCAGCCCGTAGCTCGAAAGCATGTGACTCGTCAGTCCGGGCCTGAGCTCCCGCTCTATCGGCCACCCTGTCTGCAACAGAACCATCTTTGCCCCTGGTCCTCACTGAAACAATGAATAAAAGGAGGGGAAAAATAGGAAAATATGAACTATAAAAAATTTAGAAATTTCTTGTATTTTTAAAAAACATTTGAATTGTCAAAAATTTTGAATTTTCCGGTACATGCTGCAAAGCTCCGGAAATTTCAAAACTTTCGGTACACAAGGTAAATACTAAACCCAAAAATTTCAAAAATTTCCGATTAGAATATACTGGATATTTTGAAATTTCTAATACAAAATGCCGGAAATTACACGAACCAAGCGTAAATTCCTTACTATTTAACAAAATTTCCGGTATCGTCCAATAAATTTAAAAAATCCAGTGTGGTAATCGAAAATTTGGAAATTTAAAAAAAAATTAAATTTAAATAATTTAATCTTTTCATATTTTTTAGAGGTGTCATGTATAAAAGAGGGTGGCATTGCTAAATTTTTCGATATAGGAGAGGAGATCCTCTACGGTGAAATATCTCTTCACTAAAATATATACCATATATTTTAAAAAATAAAAAACATAAAAATATAGAAAAATAAGATTGAGAATCTTTTTCCCTTCTTTTTCATTTCTAATTCAGGTTTTTCTTTCCCTGTTACTTTTGCTGCTCTGCATTGTACTTGAATAGCTTTGAGTAGTTCGATGGCGCCATCAAATGAGAAGGTAATAAACCATATACGTGAACATGAAGATGTTGCCTTCTTTATTTTGTCCAAACTGCCTCATAAAAATCTGAAGCGATTTGCTTGTGTTTGCAAATCATGGGCTCTTTTATTTCAAAACCATCATTTCATTGGCATGTTATGCAAAAATTGACTGTTTACTCATTCAATGTACAATGATTCGCGTCTCGTCCTAACATATTTATCACCGAATATCTTTGATCATTTTTGGTACTTTTGCTATGGCAAAGGGAAGAACATTGATATATTTTTCAAAAGTTGATCAAGATGTGAATTAGTTTATGTTAAATTATAATTCGATTGTGTCGAAAGAGATTAGATTTGTTTTAGATTTAAATAAGATTTGATTTAGATTTAAAACATAATATATTTAATTTAATACCAAAATAGATATTTTGGGCTTTTTATAATTTTGGGCTTAGGGACCAAGTTAAATATATAAATAGATGTAATAACCTTTATTTTGTAATCAAGTCAATTAAGTTGTATTCACAGAATTGTAGTTGCAAGTGAATAACAAAGTTTTTCCCCTTTGTGGACAGAGAGAAATTCTGCAGAAAATAATTGTCTTCTTTTTTTTCTTGTTTTTCTCATAATTCATTGTTATTGAACTAGAAATTCATCGTAAATATTTAGTGGATTTCCAACGGTTTACACCAAACCAAGTTTCTAGTACATAACATCTCAAAAGAACTGATTTTATGTCTCGTTTTGTTACATTAATAAACAAGAATCATGATACCCTATAATTAATAGGCTTTAGTGTTGTTTCTTTGTCTGCATGATTGCTACCAAATTTTCTAGCATTCACCACTCTCTCAACCATTTTACTTCCTTTAAAATTTGATCTATTTTCATTACTTGTTGCACCTAGAGTAAATATTTCTTTTTGTTTCTTCTCATTCTTTTGTGTTCTCTCAAATTGATTCAAACCATACTTAGACATGCTTGGTGATGGTGACCTTGACGGTCTACACGCCTTTGGTGTCGGGTCTTGATTTTGAAACCCTCCAACTAAAGATCCTTTTGTCATGCTTCTACCTCTTGTATTTTTTGGAGTAATATCTTGATTTTGAAACCCTCCAACTAAAGATCCTCTTGTAATGCTTCTTCCTCTTGTATTTGAAGTTGACCTTTTATCTGTCCTCAAATTTTGCGGTGTCTCATTTGAGAGTTCTATCGCGATATTTGAACCTTTTGATTTCATTGAAGGAGACACGCCTCTTGTTCTAGTTAGCTTCCTTTGTGGCTCATTTGCTTCAATACTTTTCTTTTGATTTAGAGAAATGAAATTGACATTGTTGATTTGTTTTTTAGGGTTAGGAGATTTAGTGGTGTTTGTAGCATCATGTTCTTTTTTGGTGGTGGTAGGGTGAGTTCCTAATTGATATTCACTTGTATTTTTACTCATGTTAGGTCTCTGTCTGTTATAACTTGGTGTTATGGATCTCATGGGAAGCTTTGATGATTTAATTGAGTTGGTTTGGTTTGCCTTTGGTTTGTTTTCCTCCACATCATTCTTTGCAAATTGTGCCTATGGTACGAAATCAACTTTTTCATATTTAATCTCAATTAATACATCAAGCATAATTTTAAACTTGATGAGATCGACTAATCCAAGAGGATTAATCTCATCGTTCACTAGTGGAATTCGAGTCAGAGTATAATTATATATAAACAAGTTCAACCCAAAGAACGTTGAATGACTTACATTTGAGATAAACTGAGCAATAGGTAGCTCTTTCTGAACGACGAGTTTGGCATTAGGTTCCATTTCTAGGGAAGGAAACAAAGGAGTTGCTGGTGGTGTTTTCAACCTGTTTGCCACATGCAACTGCAATGTTACTTTATGTTATATAGATATTTACTTAATAAAGCAAAAAGTTATTATAAAAAAAAAATGTTACTTTCTATATGTATTTATGAAACTCACCAATCAAAATCGCTTTTATTTTTTGTTTCTAGAAGCTCAAGTCCAGATTCTTTCTTCCCTGAAGGAATTCTATAGAGTGAAAACTTTCCTGCAATGGCGAAATTTAAATCTAAGAAGAAAATCAATAATATAATTATTAATAATTTGATAAACATATACATACCATTACCACCATAGTTAGTGTCACATTCATATTCTTCAGAAGCACATAGGTTTGGGAAATATTCATTCTGACGTTTCTTCAATTCCCGGAAAAAAGATAGTTCTTCTTCTCTGTCACATTCGAATCGATCTATTCGCCCTTTCATGTTGTTCTGCACCATATTCACTCATCTAACTAATTCTCTATGCTTATATACAAATATATATATAGTTAAAAATTAAATATTAAGAAAATAAATGGTGATAGATGATTTCTTTTGTTCTCCAATTCCATAGCACCGTATTTAGTCTACTTTTATAGATTCTGTTTCTTGTGTTCGAATGATGCATGGTGTTGCATAAGACAAAATGAATTTAACTGGTTTTTTTATGTTAGAAGATGGATTTGTGACATGTGGAGGTCTAGCCGGCTATTTGATTATTTGTTTATTTCTTATAGCTTTGTGATGCAATGCATTGTATATGAAATGAAACGCGTTATGTAATCAGATATTGATTGTATTGATCTATTCGATTTGGTCCAGTTACCCAAGTTCTTGAGGTATGGATTTTGAGGTTGATGAAAAATATAGTTAATTGAAAGAAATTTTGTGAATTTTTTCCAATATGCCACATTTTTAAATCAATTTCTTAAAATGTCACACTCTAAAAAAAATTGTCCAGAATGTCACATTCAAGAGGGGTTCACGTCATTTGAAATGACATGAATGTGGGCAGTAAAGGCTCACGCCAACTCAAATGGCGTGAAAGGTCTAATAATTTTTTTTCGTTTTCTTGTTTTTACGTTATTTATATTAATAATTTTAATTATTTAATTTTATTATTAATTACAAATAATTTAATAAATTATTTAGTTATAAAATTAATTAATAAAATATTAATTTAAATTTTTTAATAATTATAAACTTAAAATAACAATTTAACAATTACAATTAAATGATAAAATTTTTTTATTAAATAATAAAATTTCACAATTACAATCAAAATACTAAATAAAAAAATACAGTTAAAATTTCACAATTACACTATTTAATGCTGATGACCCGGTCCGAAATTGAGTACCGGTAAAACAATAACGCGGTCGCGGAGCACGATGATCAAAACCATATTGTTGTTCGGTCTCTGTTGTTAGAGGATTTTGTTGTGTTGCATATGATGTTGAAGGATTTTCTTGACCAGGAGTTGTAGCTTGCGGAAGAGACCAAATGCTTTCCAGTAAATCATAATCACTGATGTTAAGATCCTCGCCAAAATTATATTGCGGTTGTTGTGGCAGACACATGGTTGGAAAATAAGGCGTTGTAGGGTTATGTTGGGAGGAGGAGGAATCGAAGTTTGGTCGCATGATGGGTGTGAATTGTTTAGTTGGCCTATGATATATTTGTGGTTGTTGGGATTCGTAAATGTAATTTGGTTGGGAGTGAGATTGCAGGTATTGGGTGTGAAAGGTTTGATTTTGGTAAAAATAAGGGGCAAGAGTTTGTAGTTGAGAAAAATGAGGGTTAGAAGTTTGTTGTTCAGGATAATGGGGATGGGTGTTTGATGTTGGGAAAAGTGAGGAGTTTGTTGTTGGAAGGATTGGGGATGAGGAGGTTGAGAATGTTGTGAGTGGTGAGGTTGTTGAGAGCCACTTGCCTGAGTAGGGGCATATTGATTTTGACGAGGGCAAGTGAGAAATTGTTCGTACGATGCATATCTATGTGGAAGCGAGTGATACCATTGCATGTACTCATTTGATGGTTTCTCTCTATTTGTAATTGATCTCCATCCAACATAAACAATTCTCGATGCAACCAACAGTTTTGTTCATCAGAGTATAATGTGGTATATGCTTTTTGGCGCGCTTTTATTGTTGTCATCTTATGGTGTTCAGCAAGGCATCGAGGTTCTTCAGGTATCCCTTGTAAATGGCCAAATTGTAGTTTGACCCTATCTGCTGCTTGATGCATTTCTACAATATGAAAACATATTATATACGTAGTTGAACTGCATATCAAACTGTCCTCGTGCCTTTGGGGCGCTAATCCAAGATACAGTCTCCAAATAAACTGAAAAGTTATAGATAAAACTTCTTAGTTTAACCAAAATAAAATTCATAAATTTATAAGAAGTATTAAAGTGAAGACAAAAAAACCTGATCTTGAAGAATGTGATCAATCCTGAATCGGTATCCTTGTAGATGGTAAGTCAAGTTTCTTGATGCACCACCTAAAAAGAATTTAAAATTAAACTTTATTTTAAAGTATCCTAACAATTTTAATTATAAATTTAAATTAAAATATTACCTTCTTGCGTAAGGATATGAAGCTTGAAGCGGAGCCACGGGAGATATTATAGGCATGCGTGTAAAAGCCCAAGCTTGAAGATGTAAAACGCATCCTGACATCTCTGTTACTTTTATGTCTACAGACTTGCACATTTCCCTATATAGATTAGCTAAAACGGCGGAATCCCAACTCAATTTTCCACAATCTTCCAAATCCACAATAAATTGTGTCCATTTTAAGTGTATAATATTATCGCTTTTGTTAGGAAACAAAACTTGCCCGATAAGGAGTAAGATATAAATACGAGCATGTTTAATTTTATATAAATACGAGCATGTTAAATTATATACTTATCAGGTGACTCCTCGGTTGGTGCATGTCTTTAAGCCATGTCAACCTCGCAGTCATTTCCTTGTCACTTTGTGGTGCTTCATCCCCTAAAATAGAACTCCATGCACCACCACCTAGCTCGGATGGACCATTTACCGCTTTACCATCTACAGGAAGCCCTAATAACATACTCACATCTTCCAATATAATTGTGCATTCACCATTTGGAAGATGAAATGTATGAGTTTCGGGTCTCCACCTTTCTAGTAAGGCTATAATTAACCTTGAATCGATGTGTGTGGACCCTATTGTAGATACATGGTAGAAACCAGATTGGTGAAGGTAAGGGATTATGACTGCATGTGGATTTAGAGGTTTGTGAGCACGAATTCTCCATTTTGAAATATAAGTATCATCAATCTATAATAGAAATAAGTAATATATATTCAACATTTCTATGCAAATTATGAATAAAACTAATATTGTAAACTCAAAAATAAATAATATGAATAATATTGAATATATCAAAAATACTTACAGTATTGATATTTTCTACTGTTCCCTTATGTTGTGTATCATACCAAAACATATTGGCCATAATTATGAAAATGAAGAACTGATTGAAGACTTATCAAAAGAGAGTAGAGAGTGTGTAGTGAATAGAATGTAGTGTGTTTATAGGAAAAAATTCAGAGTGATGATAGTTGATTGGTAGTTGAATAATTTAATTAATTATGGTTGGTAAGTAGTAGAGTAATTTAATTAGAGTTGGTAGGTAGTAGAGTAATTTAATTAGAGTTGGTAGGTAGTAGAGTAATTTAATGAAAGTTGAATAAATATAAATTTGTATACTTATTGAGAATATTGTAAATTACACGGTTTTGTACACAATGATAAAACTTCATCGGTTGATCTACTAAATCTGACATACAACTCAAATGGTGTTTTATTAACACCAATTCGAAAATCCTCAAACATGTTAAATACATTTGTATTTGTAACTAACTTTGTAATATGCTGCATCAACACTCCATTTTCATTGATTGTAGCCCGGTTGAAAGATATATCTGTAATGCTCCTATTAATATTTATGATTTGACGTAATTGATTTTTCAAGTGAATGAGTTTAGATCTTTCCATAAGTCGTACAACCAAAGGATTAGAAAATGCATTTCTATAATCAAACATAACAACTTGTGAATTATACGGAATAATGTATACTGAGCAAAGTATCAGAATCATTTTAATCTGAAAACATAATCGTTTAATGTTGCATTTATATGCATGACACGTATGTTATTCACGCCAGCCTGCAAGGCTTCACGCCATTTGACTTGGCGCATACCAAGGCTTCACGCCATTTGACTTGGGGAATACCAAGGCTTCACTCCATTTGAGTTGCCGCATACCAAGGCTTCACGCCATTTGACTTGGCGACTACCAAGGCTTCACGCCATTTGAGTTGGCACGAGTGTACCCTGACCAAGGCTTCACGCCATTTGACTTGGCGACAGCATGCGCGCAATAAATCCAACAAATAGCTGTTTGTTTATTAATACATGCTTGCAATAAATCCAACATAGCTGTTTGTTTATTAATACCAACGTAGTTGGATCTTATTCAAACAATTGAATATTACTTCAAACACAATGCCACAAAATCATATTTCTTGTCTCTTACATTTCAATGGTAATATTTTTACCGACAAAAATATTGGAGTGGTCTTTCAAAATACAGATACACATATTTTAAATATTCATCGAAAAAGTGATTTAGCCCACTTGACGAAAAAAATAGAAGAAACTTTACAACAACATGTAACTTCTATTTTTTATCGATTTCCAATAGTTAATCCAGTTGATCACAATGTCACATACAACACTGCAAAAATCGAAGACGATGAAGATGTCCGTTCAATGCTTCAATGCCACTCAAGGTTTTGCAGCCAACAAACAATGGAGTTGTATATTTGTTTTCAACAAATGCATGAAGTATATCCAACACAATCATCAAAAACTCATGCATATCAACAAAGTCAGGTCTCCCAACAAGAAGAGTATGTCCAAGCACAACATAACGAGCCAATATTTCCGGAAGAGGAAGTGGGTGATGATACTGACTCCGACGATGCCAGAAAAATTAATTTGTTTAGTGGGTCCAGTGATGAGTCAGGTGACGATGACAGGCTGGAGGCATACCCGACTCCTATACTTGATCTATACAACCCACCTTATCACTTAAGAAATATTTCATTTGAATGTGTGGAACCAATTTCAGTCTTTGAACCCTTAGACGAACGTGAGTCACGTGAAGACTTAAAGGTTGGTATGACGTTTGAAAACAAAGAAGCATGTCTCCATGCAATATCTGAGTATCACATAAAAAATTCTTATACTTTTAAGGTTTGTAAGTCTGATCCGACACAATATTTAATTAAATGTAAAAAGGAGGGATGCAGCTTCACATGTAGAGCTTCGTTAAGGGAGGGGTGTGGTAAATGAGTTATTGGCAGAATTGGAGGGCCACACACTTGCATGTCGACTGCTATATCTCAATATCACCAAAAGCTTACCTCAAAGATGATCGCCCATAACATCAGACCTCTTGTTGACAGTGACGCGGCAATCAGGGTTAGACATATTATTGCTCATATTCGTACGACTTATGGCTACACTGTGTCTTACAAAAAGGCATGGATTGCAAAGAACAAAGCAATCGAAGATATTTATGGCAATTGGTAGGCCTCTTACAACAACCTTCTGCATTGGTTGCTAGTCATGCAACAATTTCTCCTAGGTACCGTCATAAATCTTGAAACACTTCATGTATATTCAAATGAAGGAACACAAATTGGTGGTGCAAGAATTTTCCATCGCCTTTTTTGGGCATTTCAACCTTGTATTAGGGGTTTCGCACATTGTAAACCTATAGTGCAAGTAGATGGTACATGGCTGTATGGAAAATATAGGGGAACATTGCTCCTGGCTGTTGCACAAGATGGGAATGGTAACATTTTACCAATTGCATATAAATTGGTCGAAGGTGAGACCAGGGGGATTGGAGTTTCTTTCTGAAAAATTTGAGACTCCACGTCACACCCCAATCAGACTTATGTTTGATATCTGGTCGACATGAGTCCATTAAGAGTGCCTACAATAACCCGGATAACGGCTGGCAGAACCCACCCTCAGTGCATGTGTATTGCATTAAGCACATCGCACAAAACTTCATGCGAGCCACCAAGGATAAAAACCTTCGCAAGACAGTTGTTAACATGAGTAATTACTCTCTAATTTTTAACATGGCATTTCAATATATAGTTCTTTTATATTAATTCTTTTAATGCTTTTACGCAGGGTATACAATTAATGAGTCTACATACGCATATTATCAGGAGGAGATCCGCCAAACAAACACATAGGCTTTCAATTGGATAGAGAACCTTCCAAGAGAAAAATGGTCGCGAGCTTATGACGAAGGAGCACGATGGGGTCACATGACAACCAACCTTGCTGAATCTTTGAACTCAGTGTTGAAGGAAACCCAAAACCTACCTATTACATCACTTGTAAGATCAACATACTACAGGATGGGAACATTGCGGGGTAAGCGAGGAAAGGATTGGACAAAAAATTTGTCATCGGGAAAGGAATTCACGGATAACTGCATGAAAGGAATTGCAGAAGAAGTAGAAAAATCCCACTGTTATAATGTCTTGGCTTTTGACCGTGAAAGTCACTATTTCGTGGTTCAAGAGACGGTTAATAATAGGAATTGTCGGCCACTTACTCATTTCAACGTCAACCTCCAAACACGAACTTGTGACCGTGGGAGATTTCAAACTTTTCATCTGACTTACTCACATGCTATCGCAGCGTGTTCTCACATTAACCACGACTATACTACGTTTATTCCTGACTTGTATAGAGTTATGAACGTCTTCAAAGTTTACATACAAAGTTTCTCCGGTGTTCCCCAAGAAGATAGCTGGCCTCCATATTTGGGCGATACTCTTTTGCATGATGAAAGGATGCGACGAAACAAAAAAGGTCGTCCAAACAGTACTCGCATTAGAACTGAAATGGACACTGTTGAGAAAATAAAAAGATGATGCGGTATCTGTCAACAACCACATATACGGAAAAAATGTCCGCATCGCCTCAACAATGCATGCCCTTCTAACTAATTTTATCCATATATTGCTATTTATAACTACTTTTAACTGTATTTTTTTATTTAGTATTTTGATTGTAATTGTGAAATTTTATTATTTAATAAAAAAATTTATTATTTAAATGTAATTGTTAAATAGTTATTTTAAGTTTATAATTATTTAAGTTTTTAAATTAATATTTTATTAATTAATTTTATAACTAAATAGTTTATTAAATTATTTGTAATTAATAATAAAATTAAATCATTAAAATTATTAATATAAATAACGTAAAAACAAGAAAACGAAAAAAAAATTATCAGGCCTTTCACGCCATTTGAGTTGGCGTGAGCCTTTGCTGCCCACATTCGCGTCATTTCAAATGGCGTGAATCCCCCAGGGTGTGGCATTCTGGGTAATTTTTTTCAGAGTGTGGCATTTTAAGAAATTGGTTTAAAAAATGTGGCATATTGGGAAAAAATTCAAATTTTGTTGCTAAATATCGTTTTGATTGAAGTGTTGGTTATGATTGCGACGTTGTTTGGATAGATTTGACATTTATTTTATTCATAATTTGAAAGATCTTTTTGGTTGAATGTGTGTGTATATATATATATATATATATATATATATATATATATATATATATATATATATATATATATATATATATATATATATATATATATATATATATATATATATATATATATATATATATTCAATTGTGTCATCAAGACAATATTTCTCTCTCTCTCTCTCTCTCTCTCTCTCTCTCTCTCTCTCTCTCTCTCTCTCTCTCTCTCTCTCTTTCAACCCTAATTTTCCTTCGTTGTCGTCGCCGCTTTCGGTGGCTACGTTCAGTTTCTCCTTTTTTCTCTTTTACCAATGTGTTGTTCTTTAACCAGCTTCAAGACTGTAGATTTTTTTTACCTTTTCGATGAATTAGATCTTTTATCGGCGCCTCCAAACTCATCGGTTATTCCTCCACTGATTCCTCCCACTCCTCTCCAGTAAACTTATGCCTAGGTGCTTAATGGAGTCTGGGACATTTCCACTTCTCAGCTTCCTCAAGCCATGATTATAAGTGACATACTCTCCATCACTATTTCGAAAAAGGAATACAAAGTTGGGCTCCTCGATTGTAAAAACAAGCTCCAAGGCAAAATCATTTGGCCCAAGGGTTCATCTCCTCTTACAATTTTAGCTTTAAAGAACAAACTTTTGAGATTGTGGTTGGACATCAAAAGCTGGAGAATTCAATCCATTGGCAAAGGATATTTTGAATTCACATTCTCTAGTGGAGAAGATCTGCGAAAGGTTCGAGCTTTCGGTTCATTAAACCTTAACCCAGGTACTCTTGAGCTTTTTGCTTGGACCAAGGACTTTAACCCCCTTCTCAAAACAATACTTTCGCACAGGTTTGGGTTTGTTTCTTTGGTTTGTCTCAAGAATACTGGAGACCTAGGATTATGTTTGTTGTGGCAAGTAGTTTGGGCAATCCTATTTGCATTGATGCAGCCGCGTCTAAATCGAGATTCGACATAATTTTTGGCCAATTTGTTCGCGTTCTGGTCGAAATGGACCTTTCGCTTCCGCTGAGTGTTTCCTATGTGTAGTAGAAGACACCTTGAAGATTAACTCTTATGTTTTATCTTGTTTTTCCTATATAGTAGATATTTGGGGGTTCAGTTTGTGCAAGTTCGCTGGTTAAGCTTTCATTTCATCTTTTGAGGAGATCCTTTGGGATAATCATTCTTACCGTACCAAAACTTGTTTAAGTGGATGCCCGTACACCACAATATATCACCCATATTGTTCTTCGAAGCGTAAATTTTCTATTTCTTTTAGTATTTAATCCTCTTCTCCCTTGAATGTTCGAAAGGTTAGCGCAAATCTCACCTTCAGGTTTAAGATGATTAAATATGAGCATTTGTTGCACCCAAACATTTTTCCTCCTAATTTTGCTTCTATCTGGCTTAGGATTTGCATTTCACCTGCATATCCTCATCTTTAGGTCATTTTCATTCATTCATTCACTAAGGCATGGATGCAAAGATCGGTGGATATGCAAGGTATGGTTTCTATTGATCTTGAGGCTTCTTCATTCAATGAAGCTGATTTATCTGGTTATTTAGCAATGGACTTTGTGGAATTATGGTTCTGAGGTATGGTTATCATGGGTTTCCTTCTTCATCAAGTCATATGGTTATTCTTTGAGATCTTAGATTAGGGTTATTCCCCTGCCCAAGATCAAAGATTAGAGATTGGTCATTCATCTAAGAATTTCTTTAGGGCTATTGAATCAAGTTATTCCAATGGTGTGTCTATTAGTTTTAGATGAGGTAGAAGCCATTTTCATCCGTCAAAAGAAGTACTTGGTTCTTGAAACATAAGGCATTGGTGCAGGAAAGGAAGTAGCTATCTTCTTCATCAATAAGCATTCAAGACAAGAATTAAGGATTCTTATCCATTAAGTTTGTGCTTGTTAGCATTCAAATGTCATTGAATTTCATGGTAAAAGTACCTTGGTCATCTTTCCTTCCATATTCTTTAAGAACTATCTAAGGCAATGATTTTTTCAAGTGAGATGCCTTTGTGGATTGAATTGCAAAATATAAATCATGGCATAAGGGATAAATTTGTGGATTCATTATGATCAATGTCTTATTGTTGCTTCAAATATCAGTTAACATGAATTGAGGAATTGAATTTGGTTTTCATTGAGAAATTTGAGATTATGATGAAATATTCAATTAGTGACCTAACATCTAAGTTTATTCAAAGTTGTCAAGATTTGGTAGTTTAGATAGTTTTCTTGGAATTCAAGGCACAAGTCATACAAATTTCAAAGCTCAAATTTACAAGAATTCATTCAAGGTGTCAAGTCCCTTTGTTCAAAGTTAATTTACCATTCTTCATTCAATTTCAATTCAAAATATAATTCAAAATAAAATATCATTCATGAAGTCGTACAATATTATTCAAAATAAAATAAAATATAAGACAAAAGTGCAACAATGTCCAATAATTTGCAAAGTCGTGTTCATGAAGTTTTGGAATCTTGGAAGGCTAGAGTCATTCAAATATCATCCAAAAGAATAAGTTTCATCAAACACCATCCAAGGTCATTGAATTCAATCATACTCATTAAAAAGTGACAACATTAAACAAATTCAAAATCATTCAACATCTTTCATCAAGTTTCTATTCAAAGTCATACATTTTCGATACAAGCTTTGCATCTTTGTTGAAGAAATACAAGATTGTGGGATGTCTTAAGCTTAAATGTTACTAATATTCAACCAAGTTCCAAAAACTCTAAATTGCCAAAACAAACTCCATGTGCTTCTTGTTAACTTTGTCTTGCTAAGACATCATCTTCAAGTCAAGCTTTCCATATAATGCAACAAAACAAACATGTTGCCCTACACACACGAGACACTATTCACAACAACAACACAGATACCATATAAACACATAGAAGGATTGCAAGAAGAAGAAGCAGATGAAAAGTAAAGAGGAAGATGTGTATTATCTAGACATCGACACTTTAAAATTCCTCTGATTTTCTTTCCGTCTTCGCGGCGAATTTGTTTACATCAAGACATAAGCTCTATTATTATTATTATTATTATTATTATTATTATTATTATTATTATTATTATTATTATTATTATTATTATTATTATTATTATTATTATTATTATTATTATTATTATTATTATTATTATTATTATTATTATTATTATTATTATTATTATTATTATTATTATTATTATTATTATTATTATTATTATTATTATTATTATTATTATTATTATTATTATTATTATTATTATTATTATTATTATTATTATTATTATTATTATTATTATTATTATTATTTATTATTATT